GAACGTCTATTTTTCTTTATTTTTAGTCATCCACAAGGTCCAGGCATGTGGAAAAAATTTCGCTCCAAACTTTGGTATTTGAAATATCAATCTAGAGAAGAGAAGGAGCTGAAGTGACAATTTTTCGAATTTGATCCGCATTTGACAAGCATATATTTTGAAGTTACTGCAATGGAAACATCAAAACCACACCTTCAACTCTTATCTTGCCAACAATCTTTTTTCCCTTCAAAGGGCAAGACTGCACAGTCTTTGTAGTCCTCCCTTCTCTTAATTTGACACTCCTTGGATGCAACAAAAACTTCTGTAGTCTGCATAATTAAAGGATGATGGACATGGAACAGTTCAGATTTCAAAGTAGAATTTGAATTGAGATTACAGTGAATAAAGTAGTTACATAAATAAATAACATTTGGAGGAAAGCTAAAATTAGGCTACCCAAAGGCATTGCGCAGGACAAGGCATTCATCCCGCAGAAATTCAGGTGCCTCTGTACAACCTCTTGCCCATGCATATAGACATAAGCGAATACATGCATCATATGCTACGAGTGTTTGCCAAGCATATTGACCGCTGCAGTAATCACAAGTACGATGCCATTAGGAAACAGATAAAATCTGACATGTAGAAAGATAAAAGCAGTATCACTTTACCACAATGCCGGGAACTGGTAGAAGCTGGTGTGTCGTAGAACGAAGAATTAAAAAAGGTTGATACTTAATATGAAGCAGACATTTGCTTAAATAAGTGGAACTGCTCGGACTATAATCTCTACCATCAGAATGAGAAGATGTGAACTGTGATTGTGAATAGGAACCATACCTGGCACTGTAATAAGGTGAATGTTCCAGTGAGTTGGTCTGCTGGTGCGGTATCTGTACTTCTTTCTCATCCTGAATGGTTTCTCTCACTCTGTGTTTTGTTAAGGAATATTGGTTACGTACCGCAATGCACAAAAGGGTAGACAGTAAGATAAAATTCTTATCAAGGACTTTACATCCACAAAGTACCTTTCGCCGACCTCTTCATATATTTCACTTGCTCCCCAATCTGCTGTATCTTCAATAACCTCCGAGTTTTCAGAAAAACGTGGTCCATTACCAGTCTTGTCAATATCTACTGATCCTCTGAAAGCTTCTTCATATTCACTTTCAGCTTGAAAGCTCTTCTCTTCTATTCCACCATCCATTATAGGAGGTGCACTAGGAGTCCCCAAGTCTGATACGCCACTTTCCACAACATTGACATGAGTCGGGTTTCTCTGCAATCAATTACAAATTGAAAACCATCAGTCCAATGGCTATATCATTAATATTTACATCAGTTAAAGTGATTTGGAGGATCATCTCACACCCACATTGCGTAGGAGAACTCGCTCTCGAAGCATATGGCTGCTTGCAGGTGCAGATGTCAGGCCACTCGGAGCACAGGTCCTCATTCCTAATCCCCCATCTGATGTATGTCTTCTACTAGTCCTGGGCACTTCAATTTTGAGTTTCTCCATTGCCAACCCTCTGTTCAAAGGTCGCCCTGTGCCGGACTTCACTCTCGTGTGAGGCATATGCCCAAACACTTCTTCTTCGTCATATCGGTGGAGAACTGGCTTCAATGAATCGTCTTCTTCGTCAGTGTAGGAGCAATCCATATCATCCGGGACAGAAGCCACACTTTCCTCATCACTTCCCCAATCGTCATCATCGCCTTTTCCCAGAGGGGGAGTTACAATGCTGTGAGGCGTGAGGAGACCCGAGTGAAATTTCAGTGGAGGTAAAATGTGGCTTGACATGTAGCTGTTGCTGTTGAACCCTAGAGGAGATTTAGGAAATGGGTCTACTCCGGTGAGCCTCTCCGATAAAGGAGAGCGAGCTGAGTGAGCTGGTGCTTCTCCTACATCTGATCCCTGCAAGCCATTGATCAAGAAAATGATATGTGGAGGCAAATTAAGGACAAAAACTGAACCCTTTCGTTTATGATGTTACTATAGTTTCTCTATTGCTGATCGTTTCCAAGATTACTTTAAAAAAGGCAACAATTCATCTCGAAAGGCGAAACGCAAGATTGCTGCGGACGACAGAGGAACCTCTCGCGGGCTGTCAAGGTTCAAGAACAAGAACCTCGGGAAAGAGGGGGGGGAAAGGGGAACCTCCGGCCAATTGGGTGTCTAATTTCACGAAACTTTCCCTCAAACCCACTAATTGAGACAAGATCACCGCAGGGCAAGAATCAAGAAACACCGGAGATCTGAAGAACGCCCGAGGCCCGCACGGACAACGAAAAGCGAAGGAGCTGGAGTTACCTGCTTCACCCAGCTGATGGCGCCCTCGTCCAACCCGTCCGTGAACATCTCCGCAGGCAGATGATATGCGCGCGTGGAACACAGAGAGAGAGAGAGCCCGAGAAAGCGAGGTTCGAAGAAGAAGAAGGAGATGGCTTGAGGCGAGAGAGATGCTGCGAGCTCCAAAACTAAACAAGAAGAAGAAGAAGAAGAAGAAGAAGAAGAGGAGGACGAGGAGGAGGAGGAGCGTTAGTAAAAGTCTTTTAAATGTTAACGGCTAGTTTTGAAATGGGTTTTGCTTTTCCTCTTCTTGATGTTGCTTAATGTTTGAGAAAAGAGCGATGATCCGCTGCGTCCTGTTTTATTTTCATTTCGTTGCGCTCTCGCGTATCTCCTTTTTGTCTGTTTTTCTTTTCTTTTTTTTTTCCTTTCCTTCTTTTCGTTTTTTCCTTTTTTTTCATTTGAGTTAGGGGGAGGAGTTTCGAGTGGACCGTATCATCGGCGGGCCAAACTTACTCCGACCCGAAAAGGTTTAGGCAAGCATAACCCAAGCCGAAAATGTCTCTTGTCCTCAGCTTGTCGACTGAATCAAAAGTTGTGTAAGCTGTGCCTAAGAGATCACAATGTATGGTTGACCAACTTGGGTTGGACTAATTCTTGGAAGTTAAACATTCCATCAACTCGTATTTTATTAAGAATCATGTTAACGAATGTCCTCCAAAACGCTTGAAATATACTTTAATCGGAATTATTTAACTTTTGAGGTACTGATTGTGTATTTCAACGGGAATTTTCAAAATCATTTCATTAAAGATGAGTTGATCCATCGTTTTTTATAAACATAGAATGTTGCTCGTGCTTAGTCGACTAACGAGTGATATGTCGAGATTAAAGGTGTTCGTGGATGAATGATAATATTTTCAAGGTTTCTTTAGATTTACACTACTCGAATGATTCGGCTCTCTCCTTATGTAAAATCAATAACCTAGAATTAAATAGAATTTACGATCGAAAGTGGAAAAATACTTAGCAATCAAAAGAGCATGTTGTATCTGTAATTAAATTTACGTTAATTTTTTTTAATGCTTGTACTAAAAATGACAAAAAAATGAAATTTTCTCACAAAGGATAGGCCAAATACAAATATAAAAAATTATTTTACCATTATGGCGAATTTGGCATGACTTTTTCAAATGCACTAGAAAAAGTGCAACCTTTTGCCATTGTGTCAGGTTTAATGTAATCTTTTGAAAGCACGAAAAAAACACGCAGTATTTTACCACTATGACCAAATTAACATCCTCTAGTATTTCATCTTCTCGGTGTCATCTCATCCACGGTGTCGATCCTCTTGACTCTCGTTGCATTGTCCGCAAGAATAGATACATCTCCTATTTACCAGTAGAATGAAACTATGGCACGATCACTTGCACGAGTGAAAACATTTCTCTTCCCGACCATATGGATTCATGTTCCTTCCTAGTAATTGAGTGAAATATTTAATGGTTTTGATCTTTTGTACGTCCGCCAGAATATACACCCTTTATCGTAGATGAAACATGGCGGTGTGGGATAAATATTTTCTTCCTTATCGGCTAGAAATAGAAAAATCTAGTTCTCTTTTCCATACGAGTTTTTAAACAAAAAGTAGTGTTTGATAATAGCACAAAATTTATGTTTCTGGAATAGAAATTCGTTTGATAACAACACAAAATTTCTGTTCCCACAGGCCAGCGAGGGGCGGCGGCAGGCGGACGGCCGGCGAGTGGTGGCGGCGGTAGGCGGCGATGGACAACCGGCGAGCGACGGCGGACGGTCAGCGAGCGGCGGTTGGCGACGGCGAACGGCCGATGGCAGTAGGCGACGGCGGACGACCAACAAGCGAGCAGCAGGCGAGGGGTGATGGCGGACGGCCGGCAAGCGGCTAGCGGCAAGAGGCGACAGTGGACGACGACGAACGACCGACAAGCAACGACGGATGGCCGACGGGAACGGAATTTGGGGACCGGTTTTATGGACCCACCTAAGAATTGGATCGGCAGTCCGATTCCCAGGTGGATCCATCGAACCAACGAGTGGTTCCCGGTTCTAACATGAGAACCGCCCGAGAACTATCCACCCAAACCATGCTCACCCCTATCCATACCTCTTTTTCTCCTATATTGACCTTTCAGCGACTGAATTATAACATATCATATTTATATATGCTGGCAGAACGTTATGCAATTTTGGATGAATTTGAAATGCCGTGTTAAATTTTTCACGTTGATGAAATGTTATGTTTTCTTTTTTGTACGTTTAAGCTCACTTTAAATTTATCATAGTAATTCCGACCCAAAAAAATTTATCATAGTAATAAAATATTAGTTATTAAGTAATTGGGACATAAAAGATAACTATTGAATTCCGTTTTTTTTTCCGACCAAAAAAATTCCGTTTTTCTCCCTGCTCCCACTTGTTTTAATAGTCAATGACATTATTAAATTTTTTTTTCCAGTTCTTAATCGGCATTCTTCACATGCAAAAGGAATAGGATGACGAGGACGGAATTTACTTTCGACTATTTTTTTTCTTCAAGTGCAAAAAGTATGCCTTTTTAATTGTATGAATATTCAACAAAAAATAATAATAATTGTCTGAATATTCCACAAAAAAAATAATAAGAATAGTAAAAACCTGCCCAATCAGAGTCCTTTATTTCGGACACTTTTACAAACACGGCGCTGGCGTTTCCAGACAGAAAGCTCTCTCTCTCTCTCTCTCCATGGACGACGCGTCATCGGAAGCCGCGTTTCCGGCGAGCCTGCCGATTCCGATCGATCTGTTCGGGTCGAAGAAGCACAAGAACCTCCCTCGCGGCGAACTGGGTTTCGTCGATTCCGCCGGCAATCCCGTCTTCAGGGTCGTCCGTCGATCCAGATCGTCGTCGTTGTCGTCGTCGCCGCCGCCCCGTCACGACACGAAGTCGCTTCTTGATGCCGCGGGCGATCCCGTCTTCTCCGTCGTTCGCGGTCGCGTGAGTGTCCTCTGCCTCCCAGCTCTTCTTCTTCGTTCACAGTTTGAAACCGGTCAATCTGTTGCAATTTCCTTTTTCTTTTTTTTTGGCGGGTTTGGTGAGAGCTCTGTGTGCGCTTTTTACGGGAAGCGGGAGATGGGTTTAATCTATCGGAGCTCGTGTCTTGTGATCTGGTGAATTTGGAGCTTTTGCTGTTGTTAAATTCAGTAATGATGGGGCAGCAGACGGGCGCTTTTTCTTTTTTTGCAGTGCTCTTTCTTGGTAGTGTTATATTGATGGATCCCTAGGTTGTACCTTAGTATTGAGCTGATTTGTGTGACTTGTGGGGATGTGGGAAAACATTTCAAGTCAGACATTTGGTCCTGTGTGATTGAATAGAATCAATGCTCGATTAGTCGCCTTCCACGGCAGTCTTATGAATTCGATAAAGTTGGGGAGCCAATGAAAGCTGGCTGTTTATCTTGTTAGTGGAGTATATCACTGCTCTTGGTAATAGCCTTATAAAATCTAACCCTTTGGTAGGACCAGCGCGTGCTTGCTTTCTGGTAATGCAAAAGTATCAAAATTCCAGACAAGAGTTGAGTCACCTATGGTGGGATCTGAAGGGGAAAACAGGTACTCTTCTAAAGAGCTAAAATAGATCATACATTGTTTAGGAAGGCAGGATACGTGGACGTCGATCTCATTATCAGTTAGGTACCATTTTTCCCAATGTATCATGTAAAATACACAGCTTGGCTTGTGCTACTTGATCTCTGGTTGCTTTGAATAGTCAATTCACTTATGTCTTGCTTCTTTTTTATGGCCTCATTGTATCCTTATTATCATTTATTCATGTTCCTTTCCGGTGATTGTAGAAAGGATTGTGGCAAATCTTCAAAGTTGATGATGGCGAAGAGAAAGAGTTGATATGCAACGTGCAGAGAACTCGAAAGTCCCTCACCAGAACAGAGTTAGAGGTCCTTGTTATTGGTGAAAGCTGCGGCAGCCTAGGCTCATCTTTCACGATGAGAGGCTTTCCGTTCCAGAAGTCTTGCACGATCTATCAAGGTGATTCCATAGTTGCCCAGGTACTTAAGACTGTTTTGGGGATTAGAAGTGAGGCCTAAATGACTTGGACCGGTTATTCTTTAATCGATTGGTTTAAGTTATTTCTGGCTTGTTCCCTTGTCTGATACATTGTTTTTGTACTTGCAGACTAGCCTTATGTACAAGCTTCACCAGATTTATGTGAAAAGGGGAAAATTTCGATTGACAATATATCCCGGCTCTGTTGATCATGCCTTCATCGTCACGCTTGTGGTTATCTTTCTTTCTAGCGGGATGTAGCATGCCTGTTCCTTTTTATGCAAACTGTTAATGAAAGGTATGTGCTTTTGTTCCAGACACACTTGACTGTTTTTTCATTGATAAGTTCTAGACAAGGTAACTTGCTTATTTTTGGAATATCATGATCTGCGTACCTTCCGTTTTTTAATTGACCTCCAGGACGTCCTGGAATAATCTCTGCAAAAGATGGCTTTTCTCTTTAATAAGTTCTTAATTAAGCTTTTTTATATGCCCAATTTCTACCCCACAGATGCTTCTTTCTGGCATACAAGATGCCGTGCAGGGCAAGTTCAATCCTTTGAAGCTCCTTGGATCGGCAATATCATTACCTACAACATCTGATAAGTCAGATCACATGCCCAACATGAAGTATTTGCTTGTTGCGGACTGAATGAATCAACTCAACAAAGGGGCCATGGGAAAATAGAGGAACCAAGAATAGCTATCGTGCTGACAACTCGAATAGTTGAAGCTATCTTCAAGATGCTGCTGCGAATTTACTTGCCCTGGTCTGTGGCTGCAGATCTTGCATAGGCCCCCGAATTGGTGATAATTAACTTTGGATGATAAATTGAGTCATTCCACTAAAGTTGATCCTTTGTTTAGCTTAAGTTGAGTATGATTTTTTGCAAACCGAACTTTCCCACCTCATATTTCTGTGTCCACATTTCGTGGAAGCAAATTCATATTGGAAATCTGGAATGTAGTTTTGGTGGTGATTCTTCCGATATATAGGTAGCAACTGTGTGTCGCAGATTAAACTCTCTAAGAGAGAATCTTTAGCTCTTTATGAAATGAGCGAATGAGTCGTTTTATTTCAAATACGAGAAAATGATTTGTTTGATGGTGTCATTACCCGCCGAGACAAAAGATGCTTGTCTGATCCTTACCCAAAAAAAAAAAAGATGCTTGTCTGAAACTTGAAAGATGTTAAATAAGACCTCCTCGGGTTTAATTTCTGCCTAATTGAGTGTTATTGTTTTTTCCTACCTTCATTTATTCAAATGTTCAAGTTTATAACTGCGGAACTTGGAGAAATACACACTGGCAATGCGATCCAAGTACATTCGGAGAGGCCTATATGCATTTTTTTGGTCGATCCACCGAATCACTCCCAGTATCAACAAACAATCTATTACCAGAGTTCTAAATGAAGCGAGATCGTCTCTCGTGCGTAAACAAGCTGAACAAGGCAAATATCAACAATTACTAATAGCACTTCGACCCCCGCTACAGATCGACAGGTGACTAAATGCCTCTGATTCATGTTGGCGAAGCTTCATCGGTAGGACGATCTCCAATCAGCACCCTCACCCTCACCGTCCTCATGATCATGATCAAGAACATTGTCATCAAACCCCATCACATCTTCAAATGAAGCATCTATATCTGACGAAGAACGAGGTACAAAATCCTCAGATTCTGAAGAGCTATTCTTAGCACTCTCCTCGTCGTCGTCTTCTTCCTTTTCTTCTCCTTCTTCAGATTGGTCATCGGAATCTTCACTCTTGATTTCCTCTTCAGATTCCTCATCAGGATAATCATTCAGAGGATTATCCTCGGCTGCAGGATGCCAAGAACAAGATTATTAAACAATCCAAGAGGGTTTTCTGAATAATACACAGAAAAAGAAAAACGCAACACTGACATACCATTAGAGTCATCGCTCTCGATATCTGATTCATCAAGGCCATCAAAATAACCATCCTCATCCACTTGCACTCTGAATCAAGATTCTTTACTTTCAGTCCAAAAGTGAGAAAATCTAAAATAAGTGGTGCAGTTGCTAATACAAATTTTCATGCAATACTTACAGCGGAAATTGGCTAAAAGAATTGTCCTTCCACATGTCTGCGTCATCATTTACTGTATAGTAGTCATATATATAATCATTGGTGGCTCCTGAGACATAGAAAGATGAGTGAACACTTTAAAAACACTTGACAGGATGTCCTATGCGGGTGCAATGAAAACTTACATTAGCTTTTTCTTACAAAAAATTGGACAAAACTAACAAATGATGCTTGAAAGCAGGAAAACTTATACTGAAAACTATTTATGAAGCATAACCTTGTTCGGACTTGTGGACCTTCAAATCGGATTCAATCTCAGCTGCAGCATTTGGAATAAATTCTCTCAAAAGAGGTAGATAACTAGATAACATCCTCTGATCGTCCAACGATAAATCTCTGCATCAAAATGATAAGAGTCTCTAATGTTGTTGAAGGGTTTAAAAAAGAAACAGTATTCAAGCAAGAGCTTACTCTTCCTTTGGGACCGTACTGGTTTTTTCTTCACCGTCAACACGAACAACATCATAAAACTGATACATTTCATGAAATGCTTTGTTGTCCGTGTCCTCTTCGCTTCCTTTACGTCTCCTCCATATTTGCTCAAAGCGAGCATTCTTTGCAATTGTCTACAAGCAAAATAATAAATCACACAAGCCTCACCCATACAGAATTTCCATATGAAACCAAAAAACAAATTGCATCAAGCTCCATGTTGAGACATTATTAAAACGAAATGTCATGGAAATGAACTTCAGCTCTTTATTAGATCTTTTATTATAAAAATGCCTTTGACAACTAACCACAAATAACTTAGCAGACAGACTAAATGGGCCTAAGTAGGAAGCCTTTAAATTTTGCACCATGGATAAGGTAAATGGGGAGATCAAAAAGAAATAAATGATCGATTCCTAAAGTGCATCTGTTGTCCATAAAAATAGTTTCAAACCAAATATAGAGCCAAGTAGAATAGCCTAAAATTTTACAACCTTACACATGATATTTCTATGGACTGTACACAAAGCTAATTGCACTACTGCTACATAAAACACGGATTCCAAGTTCATCATTGATTGTCAGACAAAAGACAATTGCATACAGCACCATGTTCAGTCATGAATATCATCATATTTATCAAAGTATAAAACCACACAGAGATGGAAAGGGACAAACAGAATACGAAGTGACCAGCCTTACATGCGGCTTAGACAGTCCCAAGCGGTTGCCCAAATCACAACCATTTGTTCATACCTAACCAGATCCCAACATTCTTTATATTCATGTATTGATTAGAGAGGGGACCAATATCCAGCTAAGTTTTTGTCTTCGGGCAAATAAAGCACACTGAAGTTCCAGTAATTATGTATACCTCTTTCTCATCAAAGTAATAGCGGGCAACACTGTGTAATATTGTGTAGGTCTGCTTCATCTCCCTATCTTTTTGAATTCACTAAACACCACAATTTCTACAGCCCCTCAAGTATAAGACCGAGCATCCAATGCACTGTCTCTCAAATGATAACAATGACCTAAATGTACTTAAAGCATTATATATATAGTTGCAGAGCAAATTTAATTCAAGTATTTATATCAACGAGAGAAATTTCTTGATGAATTGAAGAAAAGTGAGCATTTCTCTTTTTTTCCCTCAGTGAAAGCATCCTTGAATTCGTAACAGAACAGAAAAGCAAGTGGATTTCAAATCCTAGACTGTAGCGAAAATTAATTGAAAGTTATCTGCTATGCAACATACCTCTTTTGCCTCTCTCGCTTTAGACAGCAACTCCTCTTGTATCTGCAGCCCAAGAAATACAAAAGTGGAGATACACGGTGAGATCATGCCTTGAGATAGCAATCTTTAAAAATCCTACTTCAACTCAACCTCTCCAAGTATTTTTTCCGCCCTGGAGAGAGAGAGAGAGAACTTACATTGTCCTTTTTAAATGCGCGTCTTCTTTCCTCCATAATTGTATTAGATCCAGACACTTCAGCAGATCTAGGCTGCTCAACAAAATAACCTCAATAAATCACTTTAAATGGACGAGAAGTGAACCAAAAGCATGTACGTAAAATAAATGTAATGAAAGTCCTCAAAGCATTTCCAAATTGCATATGCTCAATGATGTATGAGGGTTCTGACCAGAAATGATTGCAATAAATCAAAGTCAGCCTCGGAGCTGTTTGTGCTTTCAACATGTTTCACTAACACCCTTTTAATCTTCAACTCATTCTCTGCAAATACATATTTTGACAATGTAGCGTGTTAGGGCAACGAAAAAAAACTTAAGAACTGAAAAAGAAATCATTATAACAAATTCCAAAACCCGTAACCTCAGCAATGTCAGGGCAAATTTATCGACAGAACCAGTGGTTGTATCGTATAAAGCTACAACAATCATAAGTCAATGGAACACGATTTATCGAGCATTTTCTACATCACTCCACCGGTTAGAAGCTAGATTGTCGAAATAAGAGCATAATCGATCAGGGCAGCCCAGTCCCCATACTGACGAAGCAATATCCACAAAAACATTTGATCCAACCAGATGACACTCCGCCACTACAGATTCTCAAGTACTCCGGAAAATTTACCCATTGAAGGGATTTCAAATCCAAGAACAGAGCAACCATCTACCAGTGCTTTCTTCCTAATGCCCTCTGAAGATAAAAACACGGGAACCAAAAAGATCAAATCTTGAGGGCAGAATCAAGTACCCTTTACAGAAGCGTCTGAGATAGACAAATTCTCGAAATCGAGAAACGGTCTCTTCAGCGGCCTCTCGTTGATTTCCAACCCTGCCAAGACCAATCCGGCCGCGTCAAGAAACCGCAAAAAGAGAAGCGAGAAACGAGAGAGGCATTCAAAGCAAGCCGAAGAACTCGGGAACAAACAAAGCGGGACTCACAGAAAGCGTCGACAGGGGACTGGAAGGCCTTGCGCTTGACCCGAACGATCAATGGCTTGTCGCCGTCGCCGTCGCCGTCGGACTTGGGACGACCGGAAGAGCTCTCTCCGACGGCTTCCATCGCCGACTTCCCGAGCAAGGAACCGAGGGCTTAGGGTTTAATGCGCGCGCCGGCGGCAATTTGATCGTTCAAATTCCGCCGGCTAGACGTAATGCTCGCTCGCTCCTAGCTTTTTCGTCTGCTTCCGACTTCCGACGTAGCACGCTCGTCTCTTAGATATATAGGCACTGGGGATCTGGGATGCCTCTGGAACTTTTTCTTTCCGCTTTTTTTTGTTTTTTCGTCGAATTTTCTTTCCTCTTTACTTGGCGGAACAATTGCGTCATAAAAATTATGCGTGCTTTAATTCTTAAATTTCTTATTTCGTGCATTTAAATTCTAAAATTTTCGTAATTATTCATTTTAGTCCTTCCATTGGCTCCGTTTTCATGAATGGAATACAATAAAAAAGTTACCTGACATGCGAACACTTAAAAACGAGTGAAAATTAATCAAAAAACGGACTAAATGTGCTGAAGTTTTGACGGCAGTAGCTAAGGTAGATACCGACAGTATCAACTGGTCATTTGTTTTGTACACCATGATGTATAAATGTTTTCCTTAACCATCTTCCCCCACCATCAAACGAAGATATACATAATCACATCCCGTCGCTTCCGAACATTGCCACCACAGTTGGTTGCCTTCACCATTGCTACCGTACTCGAACAACACCACCAACAAAAACACAACAGTTGTTGCCAACATTAAACTAGCAACCATCAACAAGCTCGATCATCGCCACCGCCATCGCCACCAAACTTGACCATCGCCACTGACAATCTCATCTATCACCGCTGCCAACATCACCATACTTGGTCTATCCACCACCAACACTTTGCCGCGACTGCACTCTCCCAACCCATCATCACACACGGACAAACTCCGCTTTGAGGTAGGGTGCTTGTGTCAAAGCACACAACTGCTTGTCCTCTTCGAGGTTGACCACCTTAGTTGTGATCACGACCTCCATATGGAGAGAGAGAGAGAGCTTGCACGGTGGCAGCAACATATCGGGGTCGGCATCAGTAGTGATGGTGGCCACACACGATAATTTAAAATATTTGATTATATCTATCTTCAAAGCATCTAATTTGAATTATGAAATCTCACAACACATCTTATTTTCAAATTTCATCTTACACATGTCGAATTTAGAATGCGCCAAAGTGAACGCACACGACGAAATATCACAAACAAATAATGTCCCGTCACCGCTGACCTGGCACTCCGCGTCAGCAGAGAGACACGTGGCACGGCACACCACGTGATCGGAAGACGGCCTAAATGGGCGGGGGCCCAGTTTTTTTTTCTGGGCCGGGTCGAGCTTGGAGGCCCAGCCCAGTCGAGACGCTCCCACCCGGCGGTCAAATGCGAGCAAGCGGGAGAGAGAGTGGGGAGAGGGACGAGGAGCGAAGAAGAGCAGGGACGAGCAGCTGGTTCCCACCGAAACCCTAAAATCTCCGCCGGAGGTCAGTTCCCAATTCGTTTTCGCGGCAATTTTCGCTCGATCGACCGCGCGGCGGTTCGCCTCCTGATCGATGTCGCGAGGAATCGCCGTCGGATCTCACCCGTGGAAATGTCGTCTCTGTGTTTCGTTCAGGTTCCTGTTGTTGATTTCCGACACCGAGGAGCGAGCAAAGCGCCGGCGGGAAGCAATCGGCCGACATGGTAATCGTTCGTGTTTTTTCTCTTTTTTTCTCTCTCCTTTCAACCGGTAGCGTCAGGTGAATGCGCGGAACAGAACTACATGCGAAAGAATTGGCTTGATTTGTTTGTGTTTTTTTCTTTTTTGTGTGGCGATGATGTCTCTCAGTCGGGGAGGAAAGAGACGGTTTTGGATTTGGCCAAGTTCGTGGATAAGGGGGTTCAAGTCAAGCTCACCGGCGGAAGGCAAGGTCAGTTCCGGTCTTGCTCTCCCTCTCTTTCTGACGCGACAAAGTGGAATGCGAGTGATGTGTCCCGAAGAGACGTGCTTGTTTCTGTAATTCTGTGGTGTTTCGCTGCCGAGCTTAGAGCTCTGGCTAGTGAGATTCCTGTCTATTACGAAGTGCGAAAGAGTTTGGGTTCCAAAGCAAACTCGGGGGCAGGGAAAAAGCCGTAGGAGTGAGTACTATGAGGCTATAACTCTCAGTTTCACTGAGAATTAAGTACTTAGAGGGAGACTCGTCGGGACTCGAAACCCGTGATGAATCGCGTTTAAACATGAACCCATGTCATGGGTTTTTGCCACTGCTTTTCCTTTCTCTTGCGTCTTTTTCTCGTTTGTGATTCTTTTTTCCTTCTCTACAGTTACTGGTACTTTAAAGGGATATGATCAGCTACTGAACCTTGTTCTGGATGAAGCTGTGGAATTTCTACGAGGTAATCACTCTGCCACCCAGCTTATGGATTTACTCTTAATTGTGCGATGACTGTACTGTCTTTTGATGTAGAGAGAGGATAGATTTACTCGTTATGGTGGTATCTTGACATTTTGTGTGCCCAATCTGGGTGAGGAAAAAGTTAGAAGGTTCTATGGTTTTGCTACTAAAAGACCCCTTTGTTCTCAATTTTTTTTTTTATATATATTGCGGAAGCAGATGCATGATAATAGTCTCATTACCTTCAACGACGTACTGTATTAGGGTGAGGGGCTTGGCTTTGTGATATCTTCTTCTATTTCTAGAACTCTAATTTTAGTGCAATAAAGAAACCCCATTTGGTGCAATTTCTTGTTACAGATTGGCCAGAAAACATATGCAAGCATTTCCTTCTTTGATGCTAAAAACAATTTTATTATGCTCTCCGCTGATGATCTCCACGATTGTGAACTCGTTTTCTGTTAGCTGGTGGCGCACCAATTAATTAAGCTTCAGTGAACTCACGGGAGCAGGCACTGCCTTCGTAGATGACATCCTCTTTAATGGAAGTTATTAAGCTATACAGCAAGTCATTTAAGGTCTTGTGGCCATATCATTTTGTTGACCTGCAATACAGTTGCTTGTACTTTTACTCTGTAGTCATTTATCTTTCGTGCATGTTGCCGTGGCTGATGCTGTCTCATTCCTTTTTTCCACCCCTTAAAAGGAAGGTTTGTTGGGAGAAGATTATTTAAACATACGAACTGTTATTTACATGAAACCTAGGTTAACACTTAATTTTCATCTTTTTGTGCTTTTGGTCATCGCATCAGCACTTTTAAAGCTATATTTCGAAAGGTGAACTGTTAGGTTTGTTTCATCTGTCTTTGCTTTTTGCTCGTTATGGCTTAGCTGTAGGCATTTGTGTAAAAATATATTCCGAAGTTAATATGAACCCTTGCTGGTCGGTGTTCAAAACTGCACATGTTATTCGAGCATATCTTAGGCGTCCTTTCAAATTTAGAGGCATTGCTTAAATCACTAAAATGACAACCTAAATAGCATGTCCATGCACCTATTTTAAGATTATTATCCCATTTCAGGTGGAATTATCGTTGCCACTGAATAGTAATACGATTGAATTGAACTATGGCCCATATCCTTTAGAAGTCTAAAAGCACTGGAGGGAGCAGTTTAATGGCTAAAACTGAAGACCTAATTAATTATGTCCTACTCTGGAAGGACAGTATAAGTAGAAGTTTTCACCTTAGGTGGAATATTCGTCGCCACTGAATATTAGTACAAGTGAATTGAACTGTGGTCCATATCCTTCAGAAGTGTAAAAGCACTGGTGGAAGCAGTTTAATGGCTAAAACTGAAGACCCAATTAATAATCTGTCCTACTGGGGAAGGACAACAAATAAAAGTTTTTGACAACTAAAGAATTGCTGCGGTTCCAGTTTTAGTATTTGCATCAAGTCATTGAGTGGTCTTTTCAAGGTGGAGAATGGGTAGAGATAAATTATTTGTTTAAACCAAGTAATTATCATTTTGGGACTATCCAATATTGCTATATACATTGTTTTTGGCTTTTTCAATTCTTTTACAAGACTAGGCATAAGTAATGGTTGGCCAACCAGCATTTAGCATGTCTACTTTTATCACATTTTGGCTGTTCCCCGTGCATTAAATGGTTCACTTGATTGAGTACTTGCTGCTATGCAGGACTTCCCTTGTTGAAATCTCACATACTTAGGGAACTCACAATGCAAAAATCTTATCCTTTCTCTGCAGATGCTGATGACCCCTTGAAGACCACTGATCAAACCAGGCGTCTTGGCCTAATAGTAAGGATATCTTTCATTATGTCATTTGAATGTTTAATATAAACTGCCACTTGGCTTTTGATTGGAAAAAATCAAATTAAACTATGAGTGAGGTTAAGCTTGATATATGGCAGAGATATGTGGTAGACGTCTTTTGTAGGGGTGAGCATGGTCAGGGTTGGGCTGGTCCAACACCTAACCCAAGGACCAACCCGCACAATATTGGTCCCCAATTTTTGGGATCGAGGACCGACCCTGTTGAGCCTGGGACCGAGGACCGGACTAACTCTATGGGTCCAGTCCGGTTCTAGGGTCAACTCGGGACCAATCGATTATTTTTTTATTTCATTTTTTGTATTCCTTGAAAAGACAAACATACTATTTCAAATTGCATATCCATCAACACTACGACATTGAGCAACCAAATTATGAACACCAGTACATATCAAACTTAAATATAAGATAAGGTAACAATATAAAATTCACACTTGCTAAAAGCAACAAACCAAGAAAACGAACACATTGCATACAATTAAACCATAAGAAGTTTTGACCCAAAAAAAAACCATAAGAAGTTCAAAATACGTAATATAAACTATGAATTATATAACTTCATAACTTGTTCATTCTTAAATGATCGCTTCAACTTCCGAACACGGAAAAACAAAATAAACAACACACATAATTAATACTTAACAAAGTATATTTGTCCAACTGAGCTGCGCTCTCGTAAGGCGAGCAAGGTGAGCGGCGAGGCGAGCAAACAAAGGTAAGTGGCAAGGGGAGTGAGGCAAGCAAAGAGAGGCAAGCGGCGAGGCGAGCGAACATAGGCAAGCCAAGTGAGGCGAGAAGGCGAGGCGTGCGATCGAGGTGGGCGATCGAGGCAGAGACGAGCGAAGAGGGTTTCTATTTTTTTTGGTCGAAGTAGAGCTGAGTTTCTTTATACTTTTTATTTACACGGCAAACTGAACTGCATAAGAAAAAAAAGAACAGAGGAGGAGACGCTAGTGTTTAGAGTAGATAAAAGCATATAATGTATAATATATGTTATATAATATATACAGGGTTGGTCCGGGTTGGACCGACCCTAAACTCCCAGGACTGAGGACCAACCCACCCAGTGCAGGGTCCAAGGATCTCAGGAGCAAGGACCGACCCAAACCCCCTAGGAATCGGACCAGGACTGGCAGGGTTGGGCCGGTCCAGGGTCGGTCCAGGGTCAACCCTGGACCGATGCTCACCCCTAGTCTTTTGGATGGGCCTGGTGAAAAATTTGGATCATTTGACCATCAAAACTATTTCATCAATTACATATCCAGAATAGTGTGATTTCAAGGACCCCTATAGTTTCTTGGATTGACTGGCAAACTTCTTCAAAGCCACTACAACACGAATGAATTAAAGACTGCAAGCTTAGGTTTAGCTGCTTGACATTAACAGGATTTCTATCTTTAGAAATCTCCGGGCCATTTGACTTACTTGTACGGTGAAGTTTTTGGAGGCATTGCACAACTTGGTGTGGTTTGAGTTTGTGGACTTATTGCTGCAAACTGTTACGTTTGGATCACATTTCCGATTCTGACGTGTTCAGTTTAAGTTCTGGTAGTGATTGATGAAGTGCTGAGGTTTTCTATAAATGGCACCTTAATTTATGCAGATTGCCTTTTGCATCTCAATGTTGTGCGGTTGTAGTATCCAGACAGTCCAGTAGTTTCTTTTTTTCTTTTTCCGCCAATACAATGCTCCAGTAGTTTGCTTGAGACCTCCTGGTTTTATTTGCTTGAGACCTCCTGGTTCGTGGATGACCCAGTATGATAGAACACAAAACGTCTGAAAGATTTCTCTTCAACTTTAGACCTTTTTCTTGCATTTCTTTTCATCCTTTCTTCCTTTTTTATTTTCTGATGAACACCGTTTCTATGTCGTTTATCGCAGGTCTGCCGGGGAACTGCTGTGATGCTTGTGTCGCCTACTGATGGCACAGACGAGATCGCCAATCCCTTTGTCCAGCCAGATGGCGCTTAAATTAATTTTCCTTTTTCTTTTTGTTCTGAGCCTTACTTTTGGCTGGATTTCTGTACAAATATCTTGCCATTGCATTATGACTCATCAAATGTTTAGCTTATATGCTCTAGTTGTTTATTTTTGAATTCAGAGAAGTGCTCCCTCTCCCTCTCTCTCTGGTAGTCAAAAGCTCTAGGCTTGGTAGTGAACCTTAGTCGAGAATTCCACCCCTACAAGTAGAGTCATAATTTAAAAAAACAAGTCGAAGCATCCCCTGGATTCTTGCTCTTCGCTTGATGTATGAAGCACGAGGGGAAGTCATAGCCGCAAATATGCTTGGTTTTAGCCATTGTGACTAGAGGCAAAATCTTGGCTTTATCACGCCTATTTGATTCAGCATTTGGAATGTTTATTTGAGCTCTAAAGTTCTTTGGCTAAATGCAAATGGTGTTTGATAATTTTTTTTGGAGCATTTTGGGGAAATGCTTGCATTTCCGAAGGCTTCTAAAGTCTCTTAGCCCAAGGAAGGTCTGGAAGCATTTTGGCATGTTGCATTTTCGGAATGCAAGATGAACTGTTTATGTGTACTGTTCATCTTCCCAAGGAACCAAACCAGAGGTTGGCAACCGTCACCTGAGGGGTCCGGCGACCCAGGCGATACCTAGGTCAAGCAACCTCAGGCAAGGCGGCCTAAGTCAAGCGTCGACCTGGGTCACGCGACCCAGGCGACGTCACCTGACGATTGCGTAACCCTCAGGCAGCAGTGCCGCCTCGCCTGAGGTTGCGCGACCTCAAGTGAGGTTGGCCGGTAGCCGTTTTGGCCTGTCGACGATGGCTGAGTTTTTTGCTTATATATATTTTTTAAATATTAGTAAAAATCCTTAACAAAATTAATTTTTACCAAATAGTAATTAATCCAAAGTTGCTTTCAAACGTGATTTTAAAATACACATTACCAAACACTACCTGCATTTCGAAAAACCCTTTTAGTTCAGAAGCCTTTGCATTTTACCAAAGGCATTCCCCAAAGCCGAACCAAATAGGCCCTCAGTCGCATTCACGAGGCTGAACTATGAGCCTAACAACAAAAGTAGGTACTCTCCACGCATTTTGCTATAGGAAGGGAACACTTGCTGTCGAAATTACCAATCTCTTCAGAGTATATGTTCAACTTAGAGGACTATACCGTCGTTGTCGTCGACGAACTTGTTCAATGCTTAGACTACATCCAAAATTGGTACGTCTGCATATTTACGAGACAGAAATTCACTGCCAACTCTACTGCTGACGGATAATTTTCTACGATCTCTTCTCACGTTGAATTCCAGGATAGTTCAATAGCAACTGAAGCAGTAATAATAAAATCAAGTGAAATCTTCTCTGGACTATGTAACATGCTTTCGGAATGCGGGCTGCACTTTGACAGGCCTTGCACTTGAAAGACAAGAAGTCGCCACACATAATTCATTTCGCAAATCACGAACTGAAGGCTTTGCCACGCTCCTTAAGTAACAAATTTACCATCATCTATAACAAGCATGCAGCCCCGTTGGGTTTAGAACTTGGGTCCATCATAAGCTGATCGTTATTAGAGGGAAATCTTCTTTGTATAAATATATCCGTTATCGATTATAAACTAGACACAAAAACAGGTTCGAGGACCATAGACGATGCGTGTATATGCAGACGTATATGCTATTTCCCAGCGCGCCAAAGAGAAAGGTCTAGATGCACGTCTTCTGCGGAAGCAGACATCTATGCTATTTCAACATTAGCGAAAGTATGCATGCCCTCATAATCTATATAGCAAATAGCTCCAGGAAGACTCCTGGTTAGATGTCTTCACCAGAGATCTACCTCATCTTACCACTTTAGTGACGAGCATAACCTCACATTGGGAAGCTGATGCCGAGTGGGCAAACTATCAGATGATTTAATAGACATATGAACAACAATATTACCCGATTACTGCCGTATTGAATTGAGTAGATATCGAACCTGACATGATTGCCATGACAGCATCAAACATCCAAAATATGAAATAAACTGTCCATTGACTATAATAATCGCTGACATGAACTAAAACCCATGAACAAAAAAGTTTCAACTGATCCGACATCCTAGGACAATTTTGAGAAACTATAACGACATCAAATCCTCTAACCTCACGGAGCTCCAATATGATAAAAGGCGTGGATAATATCAGCAATAGCATGCGCCTCTCTATCCAGTGCAGCATGGTTGGCTACAAAATGATACTTGGAGAAAGCCAAAAGCAAGGACCAATAAAACTTTCTACAAACCAGAGGCAGAGACTCCAACTAGCTCGTAGACTTCATGAAAGGTGGTTTCCTGTTTCTTTCTTTTGGGATGACGAAAATCTCTAATCAATCTTCACCGATGAGAAAAGGTAATGAACAAAATAGAAAGATGTGAGGAAGCCAATGGTGCCGGTGGACAACATGATCGCAGTTGCCATAATCAGAGAATAACCAAGGTAAAGCATGGCTGACACAGGTCCACTCAAACTCTGAAGGTCAAATATCAAGTAGTTGATGGAATAGAGGAACACATAAAGGGCGACTGAGCCAGAAGCATAGAAAGCTTTCCACCACCATCGCCAGTCCTCCACACAAAGATGCATGTAGGTAAGGACCACAGACACTTCAGCACAGACAACAATCAGCAATAAGAGCACGATTAGCAGGAAGCCAAAGACGTAATAAAACCTCCCAAGCCAGATGCTAGAGAGGATGAAGAACAGTTCAATGAAGAGGGTTCCAAACGGAAGAGTCCCCGCACCCAGAACAAGGAGCCATGATGGATATTTGCGTGCAGGAATTTCTCTGGGGATCTGGTTGGTACGGACAGGATATTGAATTGCCTCAGCACGTGTACCTAGGAATCCTCCCAATAGGGTGAGTGGCACGGAGATGCAAAACCAAAGGGCAAACAGGATGAAGTACAAGGAAATGGGAATAGCACTGGTACTGTTGCTTCCCCAGAGTAAGAAATTGAGTACCGTAAGAATTACGAAGACAATTCCAGGGAAAAAGCAAGCAACTGACCAGGAGACAGACCTCCATCCTTCTGAAGTTCCCTTGAGAGTTCTCCACAAGCGGACACCAACATACCCAGCAAAAATCCCAAGGAAAAGATAGAGAATTATCATCCCAGTCAAGAGCATTCCTCGTGAAGCAGGCGACATAAAGCCGAAAGCTGCAAAGACGATGGTGACAACTGCCATTCCCGTAATTTGAACCCCATCTCCAATCATCACACAAAGAAGCTTGGCACACTCTGGTTCTCTGAAGACATCGCCCACAACAAGCTTCCAGCCGGAAAGTTCCTCATTCATCTGTGCTTGAGCTTCTTTGTCCAATTCCTCATACCTTGTCAAATCCCTTCTCACCGTCCGTAAGAATATCACAAAGACAATACCAGCTAAGAAAAAGATCACCATCAACGAGTTGAGGATGGAAAACCAGTGTACTTTTGCACCTTCCATTTGTAAATAAGCATCCCATCGTGATGGCCATCTAATGTCGCTCTTCACAAATTCAACATCATAAGTGAATGACACTCGCTCTCGCTCCCTAATTATTTGCGACTTGTCAAGCTCCATTGGGCAGATAACGGGATCAATTCGGTCATACATTTTGTGCTTTGACATCTTGTCGGGGTCATATTTGACGCTGCAAGGAACAACCTCAAACTTAACTATCTCAAAACCCAAAGCCTTCTTCTTATCATCAGCTTCAGAGATTACACCGAGACCTTCTTCACCAGTTCCTATGATCTCCACTCCACTCCCTTCATACTCATGAACCAAGACCCTAAATTTGAGGTGATTAATAATGTAATCCTCATTGCTGCCAGGTGGCGTGTACCCAACTGGAAAACCAGTCCACTGAATGTTGATATTGTTCTGCTTGGCGTACCTCAACGCTGGCAAATTGTCAAGAATCATGTTGACCTGATACAAGTCCCGAGTCCTCTGCTTAAGAAGCTTCACTTCATTATCCTTCAACGGGGGCGTAGTGCAGAGGTACACTGTCTCGTTGATATTGATTTGGAAGCGATAGGGGGAGTTATCGATTTGATCTCCCATGAGCAGCTCACCAAGATTCTCCGCACTCTTCTTAACGCCCTCCGGTGGTTGGCAGTAAGGGAGACTGTAATAGCTAAAGGGAAGTTCGGTCTCAATAGATGTCAATGAATTGACTTTGGCCAATATTTTATCACCAGTGGAGTATGTGTGCATGTAGCTTCCTGGAAGATAGAACCCACTACAAAAGTGGGCCAACAGAACCAACAGTAAAGGCAGGAGCCATTTGCACATAGAGTGCATCCCGGATCCCGACATCTGAAGCCAAAAAATAAATCGAATAAAACTATAAGATAACCCCGTTGACATCATCATGTGACACTATGACTAGCTTAATGCGATGAAATATTTTCACCGCTGGGAAGACAATCGATCTGTAACCGGCAGTCAGAGAAACATCTATAATTGCCATTCCAGAAAAAATTTGTGGCCACTTAAAAAGTGAAACAGCAAACAAACTTCCCAATTGAGGAGTTTCATCTTAGTAAAGAAAACCCGCGATCCTGGCAACAGCCGATGGAGCAGAGCTAAATCCCAAAACACGGAGGCGAATAAAAACGAGCGGATGCATTTCAACACTGAACAACGGCACGGATCCAACAGTCAAGACATGCATACGACGACAACGAAATGAAATCGAGCCTTAACAATCGCCATCGCAAGCCTCGAAGACCGAACAAGCGCACACAGATCATTCATCTGCCTCGCAGGAACTTAAAATTGACCCACAGCAATGAACAATAAGCAATCAAAGAAACACACCCAACAAAAAAAGACTCAGACCCACCAATACCCGAACACCCCAAATCAGATCTACCCGCACGGAACATACCCATCACCCAAAATTCATACCTTTCTCAGATCTGGACCCAATTCACACCGATCAGATCCGCTCCTCAGCGCCCCCAAAACCGCATGCGAATCGAAAAGGAAGCCGCTCCCCCTCTTCCCCTACAGGACCTCAGCGACGCAACGCCCTCGATCCCTCCCTCCCCCCCCGGATCACCGACCGTAGACGATGACTGCACGAGAAGAAGCAACCACGAGAGAGACACAGCTCAAGATCAGATCAGATCTGCCCTCGGTAGGGAAAGCGCGAATACCCAACATATATAACGACGGCGACTGCAATAAAGAAATGGTCTTTTTTTTTACCAGAGAGAATCGAGGACCGCTGCAACGTGAAGAGGAATTGAATAATCGAAGAAGACGAAGAAGGAGAAGAAGAAGATGACGATGAGATTTGGGGGGTGTTTCGGCCTCTACGCCATCTTTAACCCAACCTTCGTTCATCGCATCTCATCTTTGGCGGGTGACTCCGGTTGAGACTCCGTGGTTGAGTTGGGCCCATCGAGGCCCATTCATCTGGGCCCATCGAGCCCTGAACATCGGCCCGAATCCGCCAAGCTTCCGCAACGTTTCTGCGCTGAGAGATTCTCCGTCGCCGTCGTCTTCTTCGACCTCGGCTACAGCTTCCATCGCCATATTTGCAAGAGCCTCGGCAGCACACTCTCGCACTGGTAGCGGTAGGGTTTTGCAGATCGTTTCGCGTCTCCTCTCATCAGTTAGGAAAATGGCGCTGCTAAGGAGCGCGGCGAGGACTCCGCTCGGGAACGCCCTGTGCAAGCGGCTGCTGGGGGGCGGCGTCGTGGTCGACAGAGGGTTCGGCGCCGTCGCCGGCGTCGGCGTCGGCGCCGCGGAGCAGATGAATCTGATCCGGCAGCTGAGGGAGAGGACGAGCGCTCCGATAAAAGAGGTGAAGTCCGCTTTGGTCGATTGCCAGTGGGACATCGAGGCTGCCCAGAAGGAGCTCAGGAAGAGAGGGCAGGTGGTGGCGTCGAAGAAGTCCTCGCGGACCGCGGCGGAGGGTTTGCTGGCTCTCGCGCGGAGCGAGGGCAGGGCCGCCGTCATCGAGCTCAACTGCGAGACCGACTTTGTCGCTAGAAACGAGATCTTTCAGTATTTGGTAAATTTTCCACATTTTGATCATGGGGTACAGTTCTGCTCTGGTTGTGTATGCGTGAAGAGCATTCCATATGGGAGACAAAGCTTTGTCTTTCTTGGTTTGCTATCTCCTATATTGTGACTCGGTTTGTTCATAGCCATTAACTAATTCGTCACAGAAGAAGTAACTTGTTGCTCGTCAATGTGAATGAACTTCAGGCCTTGGCTTTGGCGAAGCAAGCTTTGCTGGTGGAAAATCCTTCTGACAAAGTTTCTGGGATCTATCACATGGGACCTGAGCACTTGGAGGTAAGAATTATGTATATTTGATCTTTGGCTTTGACTTCTGACAAAGTCTCTGTGCATGTAGATGTCGGTTGTCATCGTCCAACCCCATGCTTGAATTCTGTTCCCTTTTGAGATATGAATCACAAAGCAGTACATTTCACAAGCTCCTAGATCAATGAAAGTGCAAAATTGATTATTCACTGTGATTGGGGTAAACAGTCCTTTGAGAGATCAGCATGGCTTTAGATAATATATACAGGTATTAAATGTAGATTTTTCTTTGTCCAAGTAATGACAATGTTGTGTTTGGACAGGCAGTGTTTTCATATTTCGTTGTCTTTGAGATGATGTGGCTCGAGAAGTACCATGTGGCTGTGCTTGAACCTTATTGTGGCAATTCGATCTTGTTGCATTCCATAAATGCTCTATTTTATTTAGATAAGTCAAAAGCTCAATTTTCATGGGCCATAAGAGGAGTCTAACCTTTGCCGCTTCACCAGGGCTTGAAGTTAAAGCTCGAGCATCCAAAAATCAGTGGAGAAACAACTGTTCAGAATGCAATTACAGAAGTGGCTGCAATTATGGGAGAGAATGTAAAATTTAGAAGAGGTTATGCCATGTGTGCTTCTTCACACGGTGTTCTTTCCACATATCTTCATACCAGTCCCCAGCCAGGTAAGAAGCATTTGGATGCCTTCTTTTCTTCGTAAAAGATTGGAGATAAATGTGATAGAGACCATGCTTCTTTTCTTTACGTGCACTCATCATTGCATTCATATCTTGAAGCAAAATGTAGTTTCTCGATGGAGAGTTTCCGCATTGGATGGATTAAAAGGCCTTATGGTTGGATGCATGATCTTAATTAGGTTTAGGCCGTATTGCTGGAATTTTGTCTCTTGAAGTTGAAGACGAGAACTTACAACTTGATGCGCTCCAACAAGTTGGTTCAGAATTGGCAATGCATATTGTGGCTTCCAAGCCTTTGTTTTTGACTAAGGAACTTGTCGCATCTGGTGCATTAGAAAGCGAACGGGAAATCCTGAAATCTCAGGTAATCTTTCTTGTGCCTTTGTGAAAGTGATATTTATTGGATCCCACTCAAACATAAAGATAATTTGTTCATTCTGGTGCTTTTTCTTGGAAAACTGTTTACATGTTTTACCATTGACTGTTTGGTTCTTTGGGCTTGGCAAGGCATTCGTCTTAGTTCTTCGTGTCTAAACTAGCTATTTTGCCCAATTTTTCGGTGCCTCCAGGCAGAAACTTCAGGGAAATCTCAGATGGCCATAGACAAGATGGTTGAAGGTCGTCTACGCAAATACATGGAGGAAGTGGTACTTATGGAGCAAAAGTTTGTTGTGAATGATAGTATAAATGTGAAGGTATGTATTAAAGTTCTCCTGTAATTTAAGAGCACAAGAACATTCTCATGCGATTATAACCCGCAACCCTAGAAAAATGATTGCAAATCCCAAATAGAGTTCATTGGTTCTTCCATTTTTCAAATCACTGATATTTCAAATAGAGTTCATTCTATCACCGAATGATAGAATGATCAAACTATGCTATTTTTATCTTGGTCCATAAGCCAATTACCTTTTCTCTTTCTTGACGTATTTGTTTGAAAAAGTGGTTTGCCTTCCAAAAGATAACATGCTAGCTCTGGTGATTGACATAGGTGGAGATGGAAGTCAAGTACTAATAGTTTTGTGCCGAAGAAAGAATCCCAATTTAATTTTAGTGACTACCGAGTGAGCAAGGTGCTAGTGTAGGGTTATTCAACATGTATGGAAGTTTCGCTGGCTAAAAGATAAAATATATATGGAAAATTTATAAGGATACTCCTCCAGTAATTTTCAGCATCATCCTTTTGTTTGTGTTCTCTTGTGAACATTGTCTTCTAGTATATAACCTCTATATGGTGCTTTTCAGTTTATCTTGTTTACATCTGAGAAATCCAAAAAGGATGGACGCGGTTGCACTAATGAATTCGAACTTTACAATGCGGTTTGGAGGCTAGGCAGCAACGCGTTTCTTATTATCTGTATTTATATCTATCGAAAGTGACCTTCTGCTTGATTTGGTTTTGCAGACTTTGATAGGCAATCTGTCGAAGGAAGTGGGATCCTCAGTGAAGATTGGAAACTTTTTCAGAATGGAAGTTGGAGAAGGAATTCAGAGGTAGCTACTTTCACTTGTTAAGATAATGAGACTTTTAAAATTCAATGATAGCAGATGTCTCCAAATCTTTTGTCTCTTGGATGTTGTCATGCTTATGCGGTGTCATTTGGATGAGGTGATTGATCTCTCCTTGAGTCGTTGGATTTCTGCAAAAACGACATTTTGATATCAATAGTTGGACGATATTATTAAATCTTTCTCTTGGGTGGTCTGACCACAAGTCAAGGTTTTACTGTGATTGAACTTTGTTCTGTAAAAGTTGGTGCTATTATATCTTATAGTAGATGTTGGGAAATCATCAAGCCTTTGTTTCGTTAAACTTTGTTTATTCTGGAATGGAAGATTCCGAAGGACTTAGGCAGTATCCCTACTTGGTACTTAGATCATGTCCACAAATCTGGGAAAACCTCATTCTCGATTGGGCATTTGGTTACTTTGCTCTACTGCGGGAACCCAGCTTCATCGAGACTTAACAATTACCTGCTATATCATGTTATAGAGATACATCCATAAATGCAGAGAAAGAAGATCCAAATTCAATAAGGCAGATTGTTGCTATATGGGCATAGCAGATGTATTTTTTATACTTTTAACTGAAGTGTGATTCTTGACAGTCCGAATATTGCACTGATGTTGCTATCGTATGGTTAAATAAAGTTCTATTTTAGAAATCTGATGTCTGAGTAGTTGGCATCAGCCTGTTGTGACGAATTTGTACTACATTATGAACTTTTAGAACAAAGTACTTTAGGACCTCCATTGATGCCAAGAGAGTGTCCATTAAAAAATCAACTGAAGCAGTTATCTCCCAGTGTACTTCAAAAAAGTGCCTAGCAATAAGACTGCTATATGTTAGTATGGTAGCTTTTACAGCTCAACAGGCAACTTGATTGAGGTCCTGTGCTTACTTTAGGGGTTGAAATTGCAAGGGTTGATGGGTTGGGTGGTTGGACCAAATCTATCTTTGGTGTTGCGCATGTTCGTGTGCTTATTGGCGAGGCAATGGCTTTTCCGGTCTTTTTGACCCAGGTCGGGTGATGGTTTTCAATTAGCTTGTCCCATGCATAGAGAACTGCTTTGGGAATCAAGCCAAAAACAGGCTTTTGTGGAAGCATGTTCCTTTGAACATTTTCCACGGCTTTTTTATTTCAAATAGTATGTGTTATAATAGCATGAGATGGTGAGAGAAACCTTGGATAGCTATTATTTAGCTGAGAAATAAAGCTCGTGGGGCTGACTAGCTGTTGCTTGGTAGCACCTATAGTTCTGATGACTAACGTGCACAATTTATTTACAGCGTAAGTGTGCAGCCCAGCGTTGTTGCTTTGTAAATGCTCTCTCTCTCTCTCTCTCTCTCTCTCTCTCTCTCTCTCTCATGTATAATATGTTGCTGGCTGTAATCACAGGAATGAAGCATCGAGTGTACCTGAACCTGTGGCTCAAGCTGTGTAATACGGGGGAATGCTCTCAACAGAATCTAATGGATGCAACACGTCACTGCAAATTGAAGATCCTCAATTAGTTTCTTTCTGTGTGCAACGGGCATAATTATTTGAGAGGCAGAGCTTCACTGAAAAGGTTGTGTTGTGAGCTTTCCTCATTTTTCATTTACTACCATGAGATTTGTTAAAAATGCAGAGTAATAAAACGGTGTAGTAGATTCATAGTTGCTCCAATTCCATTTGTTTGGCTCTCTCAAGTGATTAAACAGCTGACTCCTGGAACTTTTTAACTAGAAATAGTAGCGGCATCTCCGAGTTCTGTCAAGGTTGATGAAGATTAATGAGTCGGGTCACTCTGATGCTGCCAATTTGCTCGTTTAGTGCGGATAACAGTTTAAAGTGGATGCAGGAGAAGATCATGAATGCGAGTCGGTTTATGTCATCTATCCTCTTGAATGCGACTCAGATGGCGATATCCCTTATCAATGAAAAACATGCCGGCTGAGAACTACCTTGTGGTTTTGCCAATTTAATGTCATTTGCGTGGTTAAAATGAAGCATTTGAGTTATCAGAACCATTGCCATTCATGCACTATGTCCTAATCACCGTGAACAAACCATGACCTGTGTCATCATGAACAATAATCAATCTTTCTCCATATGTGATTCTCTAGATACAGGGTACACCAAGTTCACCTCGACTCGATCTCGATCTCCTCTTGAATGCAAGAGCAAGTGTCAAGGCAGTGCCATTCAGAAGTGCAGTTTTTCAGTTCTTTACATGTCAAGGTTCCACATTGATCCCTCATTTAACATATTTTCACATGCGATTACAATATCACCGGGGGGCGGTGGTGACACAGAAGAGAAGTACTTAAAAAGCCCTAATGGAACTTGAGGTTGGTCAAAATGTTGTTGTTGACTGGGTCGGCCAAGTGGTCCAAGAGGTTTTGGTAAGGCCCGACACCGGTCACAGGGGCTTGGATGAAGAAGCCCAACATGGCCAACATTGCCAACCGCCCATTCTTCACCTCCTTCAGCTTCATATCCTTCATCGACTTCTCATCTTTGCCGAGCCCTAGAGGGTTGAAGAATGGCCCGCCAGGATATGCCGGGTCTCCGGAACCGCCCAAGCCCTTCTCGAGCCCTAGGAAGTATTGTTTGCCCATTGAGCCCGGATTGTACCAGTCTTGGAACCTCCTGTGCTCGGCGAAGCCCACGAGCGCCAACTCGAACACAAAGAGCGTGTAGGGGTCGGCCCAGTAGCTGTAAGTCCCGGCCGGTGGGATCACGCCGGTCTTGAACCACGGGAGGGCGGTTTCCGGTGGGATCAACCCTGCCTTTCCTAGAATCTCTGGTGCAAGCGCTCCGATAACACCCACCATGGCGCAGCGCCCGTTGAAGACCTCTCCATAGGCGAGCCACCTGGGCTCGATGAACCCTCCAGTGCCCTCGGGGTCGGAGAGACCCAACGGGTCGAAACCATAGTCACCAGGGAGGCTGCATCGTTTAAGAGAAATAAAGCGAGTGAGAAATTGGACCAAAACTGTGATGTTTAGACATTGGATCGTGCACGTCATGCAAAAGAGGGAAGTTTATCAAGGTAACTTCGACTATTTGGAAGAAATTTCTCATTTGGTGCTCTTAATAGGGGACCAAACACCTCCATCTCTAAAATAATTCCCCAATCGACTAAACTTCTAGAAACAATCTGATCTAGTTTCAGTTAAACTAAGAAAGATGCATGTAAAAGCAAGTATAAATGGAGCTTGGAATTACCTTCCGTCCAAGTATGAAAGGCTTTGCTTGGATGCAAACCACAATTGTCTATCTGCTCCCTCCTGAAAAGAACACGAAATATACACATCATCATCGGCAAAATTGGGAGTATCTGTGGTCTCAAGTTTGTAGAGGAAAAGCCATTTTTACTTAATCAGAACGGAACTAGGACGAGTGTCAGCAAGGTCGACACGACACCCTTTCAAAACACAAACCAACAGGGGTAATTTGTAAATGCATAGCCAATCGGATCGACCGTACTTCTAGTGAAAGGAAGCGAGACGGACCTTAACTGGCGGAGTCGAGGCAGCTCTGACGACGAAAGAGGCCTTCCTCGACGAAGCGACGGGCCTCGACCGCAGCAGATGCCTCGCCGACTCGACGGAGGAGGCAAGCGACGACGATACGAGGGCCTGCGCCGCCATTTTGCTCCCTTCCCCTTAGTTCTCTCCGGCGAACTGACGAGCTCGAGCAGGGGAGATGGCGAGAAGAGAAAGGAGAGATATCAATGTATAGGATGGCTTTAGTCAATTCACAGGCCAACTGAAATATACAGAGAGAGGCGAAGCAAGGGCACCACTCATGGGCGGCGGTGGGGCCGCGGAAAAATCCAGTCGAGCGGGGGGGAGGTGGCCAATGGCTTGGAGATCAGGTTGGGATCTGGCCGTCCAACGGGGACCGTCCACGTGGCGCCACGGCTCGGATAAGAGGATCAATTGCTGATATGGGGGTGGTTCCCAGATTCCAGATGGGCAGTTCCTGGACCGAGGGCCACTCGATTGGTCCGACGTGGCATTTGGTGTTTTGTGGTAATTTCACGGCCTCTCGAATTCTATATATATATATATATTTTCAATGGAAGTATGTAGGAAGATATGAGATGAGTCAACAATGTTTCGTACGTATGCTCCAGCAATGTAGAAAGATGGGTTTATCTATGAAATAATGACACAAAATAGTCCATAAACTTTAATTTAATATGCAATATAATTACCAAATTTTTAATTTAGTCAATATGATCCGCGAACTTTTAGCCCGACGTGAAATGCAATACTTGAACTTTTAATTTCTTTAACGTGGTTCATGAACTTTTGGTAAATATTCAAACTAGTCCCTAGAAAATATAAAACTATCCAATGTTATCGTTCCATCAATTTAAGTCAAAGGACAACATCGAATATTTTCTTATGATCTCGGGACTGAAAGTTCGAGAACCACACTGAACAAGATAAAAATTCTTGGACTAGATTACACATTAAATTAAAGTTTAGGAATACAAATTAAAAATTTTAGGGATCACAATGCTTATTGGGCCAAAATTTATAGATCGTTTGTGTCGTTTTCCCTTAATCTATTAATGGAATGAATCGAATTACTAAATTCGAAATTTATTTTTACCACAACTTCATCGACTCCCGTTGTCCTCCCTTTTCGTCCACGCATCTTGCATATCCTTTATGCTTCACTTCGCCCTTAAGTTTATTTTTGCCAATGGCTAGCTGATAGTAGCCTGAACAAACCCGAAAATCAAAATTCAAAAGACACGTCTCGAGGTTCTGCCCAGTTTGACTGGAACTTGAGCGAGGGCCGGTTCGGTCGGGCCAATCCCGGGTTTTCAAGCTCTTGATAGCTCCTGGATTTTGTTAGATTTTATTTTATTTTTTGTCGTTTCTCATCTTCGCCATCCCTAGTGCTGGAGAGGCCGACTTTTCAGTTTCCTCTCCTTTCCAAATCTACAATGTTAAATGGGCTGGGCTTCTCCCTACGAAGGGCCCAGAACGAACAGAGCGTCGTCAAACCCACTGGGCCACTGGATCGGCCCAACCAACGAGCCCCAGCCGCCGCCGCCGCCGCCGACGCCGACAGTCGTCAGCGGCTCTTCCTTCGCCCGGCCCGCACCCACGCACGCGCGCGCGCGGGGCCAAGAAAATGGCGCGCCGAAGCCGATGACGTGGCGCGGGATACACGGTAAACCCTTCACTTTTAGAGAGAGAAAAACAAAGAGAAAGATATTTTCGGAGAGAGAGAGCGCGACGAGAGGAAAAACCCTCAGCGAAATGATAAAAAGGCAAAAAAAAAAAAACAATAATAGATAAAACCTAAAACCCTACCTCTGCACGCTCGCAACCTCCCTCCCTCACTCCCTCCATCATCATCGTCCTTCGCCCTGCTTCTCCCGCAGAACTGCTCTCCCAGCTCGGTGAGCTGAAGCGGAAGCGGGAGCCATTGCGACCGAGCTCGCTCGGAGGCGGAAGGGACGAGTCGCCGCCGGAGCCGACACTCCCTCGCTGGTTGCCGACGCCGGTGGCCGGTGGCGATGCCGGTGGTGACGCCGAGGTGCGTTTATCTCTTCTTCTCCTCCTGCATGCGAATTTGACCCCGCCGGAGCGACGGCCGCGGGGCATTGAGCGGCGCAATGCGGTTTCCGATGCGCGAATCGCCGCTACTTCGGTGTACGGAGGCTCGTCGCAGTGTGGAAAGGGGACGAGGGAGGGAGAGGTTTTGCTGATGATTATAGCTTCTGAGTTTTTTTTTCTCTTTTTTTGTTCCTTCCTTTTTGTTTGGCGTCGCCAGATGATGGAGAGTCCGATCGGTTCGGCTTGAGAATTGTGCATATTCCGAGGGAACTATGGAGCTGAAGAGGAAAACTCCGCTTCAGCTTCAATCGCTGGAGAAATTCTACTCAGGTGCGCCGCTTTCGTTTCTCGCGCGTGTCTGTCTTTGGTAGCTGTTCTCGTCATTTCCACGGTTTCCCGTAAATGCGGCGAACAGCTGCCTCCAGCTGCCTCGAGGGTTTTATCAAATCCTCCCAGAGGGATTGTGGAATCCCCTCACTGTACGATTTCTAGAAATATTACTCTACGGTTGTTGCTGCCGCTGCATTCATTAAGGTTATGTTCTTTATTCCAGAGGACGAGTACCCGACGCAAAAGGCTATGAAAGGTTATGCTGCATCATTAGGATTGACATTCAAGCAAGTGCAGGGATGGTTCATGGAGAAGAGGAAGCGACGCAAGAGGAACGGCGAAGTACCCTTCAGTATTTCTGCTCAAGATAGTGCACAGTCAGCTGAGTCGTTGCCTTCGACTTGTGGACATCTAGCCTCTACTAATGCTAAGAGAAGGGAAAAGCCCATTTGTCTGCAGGATATGTTGTTCAGTCCTGATTACATTCTGAAGAAAGTGTTCCGCAAGGATGGTCCGGTTCTCGGTGTAGAATTCGATTCTCTTCCTACAGGGGCGTTTTTGCACGGTAAAGCTGGTTGTTGGAAAAAAAAAATTTGTTCACATTATTTCTTAAGGAATCTGTCAAGTGTTAATTCTTTTTTAGGTTTTACTTATTGGATGCACTACAATCTTTATTTATCTCGCTTCCTCGGGATTTTATTGTTAACAATCCTCCTATAGTGTTGTTTGTTTTTCCACACCAATCATTTGGGAGCAGCTTTTGCTCCTATTGTTTTGCTTGGTAGAGAATCTGACCAATGTAAAGCTTAGTCTCTGCTTTCAGTTGTTGGGCGTTATGTTATCAATTCCTTGGCTGACTAATTGCGCTAGACGGCGCATAATCAGTAAAGCAAACAATTTTTTGGCTTTCTTTTGTCGTCTTTTCAAAACCAAATTGCAATGGTGGCAATGGTAAAGTGGAGATTTTGATTTCTTTTGCTTCTGAAATAATATGGATTAGCAGAGAATGGTGCTTTTAATATATTACTTTGCTGTTATACGTTATTACCCCGGTGTCAGATGTGGATCCTATAGTTCTTTCTTAATGAATCTGTTGTATTTAGCTATAAAATACTTACATATTGCAGCTATTTTTCGCTATACTTTCTCTTTTGTGTTTCTGGCCTCACATATTTTGCCCTTTAGCTACATGAGTCATTCTATATCTGGATTGATTCACACTCTTATTTGATGTTTAGGCTCCCAAAATAAACTTTCTTGTGAACAGATTCACAGAGAACCAAACCAGAAAAAGGTATCTCTAGTAAACTCTAGTTGGTGATTTAATAAAAACTTCTGTGAGGGTTTAAAGTTTGATATCCATATTTTAGGTATCTAATGGAGAAATCATAGATGGCCAGGATGGCTTTAATAGTGGTCCAGTGAAAAGACATGGCATTGGCAAGGGCTTGATGACAACTTGGCGAGCAACCAATCCTGACGGTGGACATTTCCCTACTGGTGTGGATATTGATAGAGGAGCTGGTGCTATATCACACTTGTCAACTTCTAAATTAAAAAAGAAGACATGTCAAAGCAAAATCAAGCGTCAACAAACGCTTGCAATGGCAAGTTATCCAATATACATACTGTATTATTGAATATTTAATTTTGGATTATACCTTTCATCTTTTTTTGTCATATTATTGAGGTAGTGGACACTGTGAGGAAAAAGTAGTCTTACTTTGAGGTGTCTTTCAGATACAGAGGAAGTTAAAGGAGAAGTTATCAATAAAAAAGAAGCCTTTGATGAGGAAGAAAGAGGTGAACTGGGTTATGAATTGTAATGGTGCTGAGTTCTGCAACTGTAGTACACTTCTAACGATGCTATTTTCATCCAGAAACTGTTAAATCAGAATTCAATCCCGAAGGGAACCCGCAAGGAAAAATGCGACCTTGCTTTGGAAGGGGGAATTACCCAAGAACTCCTTGATAAATTTACAATGCTAGTGGATGATGAAGAAATGGAGATGAGAGAGTTACAAGCAGGGCCGAAACCTCTCTGCTGTTCAGATCATTTTACTTCCAATGGATCACATGGTTGTTCCCTCTGTAAAGGTGAGTTTTTTACCTCATTATCCAGTATTTCAGTTATTTCTGTCTGAGTTACAATGTACAGCAAAGTTACATTCGGTTTTGGTGTTTCCAGATGTTTTAGCAAAGTTTCCTCCAATATCTGTAAAGATGAAGCAGCCCTTCTGTATGCAGCCTTGGGATTCTTTGGAGATGGTCAAGAAACTCTTTAAGGTACATAAAAGTTCTTGATTGATGTTTTTTTCTTTTCATTTTCTGTGAATGGATGAGTTATTACCTATCAAGGAAATAGTTCCTAGAAATCATTAAGAACTCTTGATAAGTAAGCTGGAGAACTTAATTTTGCAAAACCTTGTCAGACAGGAACGTCATACAATCCTTAATCACTGCTTGCATCCAATAGGGCCTACACTCGTACTAAATTTTATATGCTCACTGTATGCTGGGAAGTGTACTTCATTTTCTCCTTGTAAATATGTTATCTTTATTTGTATAAGAAAAGGTTTTGGCTTCTTTATTGTGGACTCTAAGGTGATTTCTTCCCAGAATCGACGCTTCTCTGAATGGCAATTTTTGTGTGGTAGATTGACATTGTGTCTCATTTACCTATTACACGTGTAATTGATAAGTCATGACATACTGAAGTTCTTTGACTAGACTGTAGATTGCTCAGTTTCTGGATTAAAAAGAAGAAGAAATTCATCTTTATGATTTGTGTCTTTGCAGGCCATCCACTTTCTTTATACTTTTGCTGCAATGCTTGATAT